GTCCATTCTTTTTCTTGTAATAGTGTATTATAGTCTCTGGTAAGTGATAGCTTATGTCCTGTCTCATTTCTGGCCTTTCTGACTATGGAAAGGAACATTTTCTTTTAATTTTTTCTTCTGCCCCAGAGGTCCTGAAGAGGTGAGGGTATTCATGCCCAGTGGTTAAGCATATTTCTAGTGTTAGTGAATACTTGATTCTCTGAAATGTTGCTTTTAAATAAGAGGAAAGAATAACTTGTTGATTTGGGGGTTGGAGTCAGGAAGGGGTCAGGCATAGCTCAGGTCCTGGAAAAAGAAGAGGCCCTGGCTAACGCTGCGAGCTGCCGTATTAACACTTTCTCAGTTGTATAGGCCTCCCTGTGTATTTTTGTCTGTCTTGTAAATTAGGAGTTCCTTGGGGTAGGAAAGTTGTGTCCATCCATCTGCTTATCCAGGCATTCTCATTAGTATGAACACGTACCTGTGTAAACGCTCAGCCACTCGCCTGCTGCCTGCCCCTGCCCCTTCCCCTCCGCAGTGCAGCTGAGGGGGCTGCGGCGGGCATGCGCGCGGCTCTCCGCCGAGGAGGCGCGGCAGCAGCACTTCGCGTGCCGCCTGCTAGAGCCCCTGCAAGTAGTAGTTACTCTGCATCCGGTGCAGACTTACTCTTTAGGGCATAGCTGTCGTACTATATATTCGCCCAGTGTACAGCTCTGCTCACGACAGAGCGTAGTAAGAATTCTCTGTAGTACTCTGGAAGCAACGTGTGGTACTTCCAGCCTGCCTACTTGCTTTACTCTGGGGTTATTTACTGCAAGTCAGGTATCTGCCTTGTAGGCCGTTTGCGAGGGCTGAAGATTCACACCTCTGAAGCTGCAAGTGTTCCTCTGCTTTTCTGAGAGAGGTGAACGATGGTTGGCTTTTCAAGGCAAAGTCTGTGCTTGGGTTTGAGGCGCTGGAGAAATACTATTAAAATGAGATCTTACTGTCAGTGGTGCCCTGGCTTGGATTTTGTAAATCAGTTGACAGAAATAGCTGTATCTTAAATCTCTGGTGCAGATCTCACCGCAGCCTTAAAGGCGTTTGCAATATCTAGCATCTGAAGGCTACTTTGTAATCCAGAGCAAGTGAGTTAAGACAAAGGTCTTCCGAAATAGTCCTGTCTAGACCTTGCCCTGAGATGTTTTAAGAAAAAAAAACATTGGCGGTCAAATGGAAAAATGCGTATTTGGCATATTTGGCCTAGACAGTACTATGTTTCTCTGCTTCTGTTATTGGAAGAGAGGCTGAGATGAGAGCAAACTAGAACTTACTGTGTAGACAGATCTGGATTTGCAGTCTAATTCCAAGGGTTAATTAGCATTCACCCTTCATTTAAAAAATATTTTTTTAAAAACCTTTTTACATGGAAAATAATCCCTAAATATTTCACGAAGACGCAGTGAGATATTCTGTTTGTGATTATATTTAGTAAATATTTAGAGATCAGAGATGAATTTTCAAAGGAAAGCGCCAACAGATAAATACCTTGCATTTCATGCCTTTCTGCTGGATCTTTAAAAATGAGAACAAGATAGTCTTGAATGTGCCTTGACACTTAGATCTGGCTGTCCTGTATTGCCGTCTGTACGCTGGTATTTTGTCCCCAACAAATACTGAGTGTTCTCTATGTCTGCTGTAAACGCACGCTGTGGGCTCACTCGAAGCCTCACAGAGGCCTGTTAGCTTCTAGCTAAAATAAGTGTAATTTTGTACTTTGATTTGAATGTTTTATACAGATTATGCGTCCAGACTTTTAATAATGCCTTCTGTAGAAAGCTCTACAGAATCAAATAATCTACATAGCGTGCTCTTAGCCAGTGGGAAGGCCGGGGGAAGAAGCAATTTTGTACTGATACTTATTATGATTCTGAACTACAGATACCACAAACTAGACCTGTCTGTTATACTTGTGAATCTTGCTGTCTGTGAAGCTAGGATAAGCTGAATTTTAGAGGTAAAGTGAAGTACTGGCCCCTGAAATGGAAATTGGAAAGGTAGTGCTGTATGATGGAACCAGCCCAGGATTTGTTACTGTTACTTGGCTGAAGAGATGCCTACAAATCCCTTTCGAAGGGGATATTTCCTTTTCAAATAAAGGAACACTGGCTGATAAGCCATGATTGAGACCGTTTCCTTAGCTTTCCCCATATGGTTCTCCTGTAGCTGTTTTCCTCAGAAAGGGTGCTGCAATGGCCATAGTTAGAAACTTACGTGAATCATAAATTCCAAGATACCAAGAATTTTTTGTTTAGGTAGTGTTAGACAGAAAATACCCACTAGAGTAAGTGAAATCAGGTCACTAGTATAACCATCGCCTCCCTCTAAATTTGACTTTAATTTTAGGACAGTTGTAGTGACCTGCTGTATCTTTATTTTAAGACATAACATTTAAATTTGGAGCTTGAAAAAGCAGAAATCAGAAGAACTGAAGGGGAAGTCAATATGTTAGAGGTATCTTAAACTAGTCCCAGACCTAGACTTCTTTATCCTTTCTGTGGAAGCTCTGCTTCTCTGCATATGTTTGTTTGAAGAATCACTGGGGAGTGGAAGGAAAGATGTATGTGTTAAATAAGAATTACAAAATTAGGGCAGAAATTTGACTTTCAGTAACTGTATTGATGTTCAAAAACTACTCTTTGTTCTTCATGAGCAAAAGGGGGAGTTCCCAGCATTTGAAACCAGCTGTCTGGAGACTGTAAGTATCAGCATTGCACAATTAATGCTTTGTGGCAAGAACTTACATGTTTCCTGAGGAGGTAAAAAGTGGTGCCTTAGAAAAGTGATGTGTGAAGATTATTAAAAAAATCTTTATCCAGAAGGTTCAAGCCTTGGTATCTGCCTGACTGGCAAACAGTTTATGTTCATAGAGAAAAAGGATAAACTGAGAAACTCTGAGAAGTGTCCTACTTGATGAATTCAAGTCTCACTGACTGATTTATCTGAGTTTGGCTTTTGTTCCCGTTTTTTCTGGCCTCTTATCTTATTGCAGATTTTGTTTCTTGACATATTTGAGGGACTGAGCAGGGAAAGGTCTTTCACTAACTGTACAAGTACATGTGGGTATGCAAATAATCCATATTCTTTTTAGACTTTTAAATTCTGCTTCAGACAAGGCAAGTCTAATGTTTGTATAATAGATTAGGAAAACTATGCTTGTAATATGAATCTCTCGTTTCTACTAATCTCTTCCTATGAGTGTGCATTAGACCGCAGAATAAAACTCCATCACTGAAACTACCATGAAGTATTTTCCCCACCCCTCAGTTCCTTAACACCAGAAAATACATCAAGGAATGGCACTGCCATTATCAGGCAACTCTCTAATTCACAGGATTGTATCTGTGTCTGTCCTTCACTCGGAAAACAAAGAAATCTTACTGCTTTTATCACTAATGAAAAGGTATAGAAAGCTGTCTCTTCCAGTCAGATCAGATTTGGGTTGTTATTTACAGTGCTTAATTCCAAAGTAATCTCTCTTTTTAAGTAGAGTCTTCAAGTATTCAGGGTGCTGTGCTCTAGCACCCTGAGACTAGAGCTTGTGTTCCAGTATATTGGCAACTCCCATTGCCAGACTACACTGTCAGTTAGACTGTCAGCCCCAATACTGATCCCCTTTAATGGGGCATTAAGAAAGTTTTTGGGTTTTTTTTTCCTTTTTTTCCTTTGTTTTTGCTAGTGGAAGAGCACAAACAAGTAGTCTAGGGAATTGTTTTAGAATTACTATTTTGGTTTGAGTATGTACATATTTTTTAAGTGTTTTGAGGTCATATTAGGGAAGGCAGGTTAAGGAATTACACTTCACATCTGATGAGGAAAAGCGTTTGGATTTGTGTTGGATTTTGGTTTCAGCGTGGCTGAATTCACAAGGGAATTTTGGCTTGTAATCAGACACAACTTTCTTTTATGTTCACTGTGCTGGAGGAACAGAGATGTTGACTGCAGCCTTTGTTACAGCATTTTAGATTATCTGTGGTGTTTTTTTAGAAGTGAGTATCTAAAAATAAGAGCAAAGACCTATAGCTTATGTCTGTACTCTTTAAGTGCTGAGTTCTGAGAGCAGAGGACTACTCTGATGTGCTTGCTAAAATTTGGCTGGCTGATGGTATGTGAAGGCTCTTCTGTTTTAGTTGGAGTTCCCTAATGGAGTCAAGTTTCATTAAGTAGCTGTAATGTATCAATGTCATCCAGATGCAAGCTGAGAGGGCTGTGTAAAACTGAGGTCAGGATACTGTCCGTTTGGAGAAGATGCAGTCCACAAGGCATCTGTGGCTAGCAAAATGTGATGCTATAATAAACAACCCGAACTGTTGTCTCAGTAGTTGGGTTTGTAGTTGAAGCATTGTGGCTTCTTATATCTAAAAGTGCTGGACTGTCTTTGGAGTGGCAGGTCCAAAGGGTTGATGAGCTCATTTCTGGTATGTAGTGATCTGTCTTGGTAATGGAGCTATAGTTGTATGTGGGTAAGGTTAAGCAGAATGATTTCCTATAAAGCTTGCTGTAAATGAAGCAAAGCATGTCCAAGGCCCCTCACACACATTCATTTTCTGTTCAATATAATGAATTAATGCAGGAAAAATGGCTTTTAGGAGGAAAAATACAATAAAATCATGCAGCAGATAGTGGTTTATTAGTTTTCTGCTTCTGAATAATGTCTCTATATACTACTCCAATATAAATAATGATAATTATCCCCCTGAGGAGGAGATAATATGTGGTAAGGGAACCACTCCATTGGGCTTAACCTCCACAAATGGCAGTAATGACAAGTAGACATAGTTCTGGACCTCTGCAGAAATGTGAATTAACTTTGAGTTTGTTTAATTTCCATAAATTTTGTTGTTCCACCCATACAATAATAGCTACAGCTATTGCTGTATCTGTTCCTTATTGTAATTCTGGGCAAATTCTCTGCAAGTGCTTTGTGCACAGAATGACTTAACCTGATATGACTTTTTTTCCTTTCTTTTTTCCCCACACAGATCACCCCTGGCAGCAAGGCAGCACAGTCACAGATGAACCAAGGGGACCTTGTGGTAGCCATTGATGGAGTCAATACTGACAGCATGACCCACTTAGAGGCCCAGAACAAGATCAAGTCAGCCAGCCACAACCTGAGCCTCACTCTTCAGAAGTATGTTGATATAAGTTAAAGTTTTTGCATTCCTAAGGGCATCCTATGAAACCTGTAACTAACAGTTATAGGAGTTTTATCTTTGCCTGTTACATTGATTTGAAGTGTTCATGGCACAGATAGGAGATGGAAAGCGAAAATTTCTGATTCTTGTAGAAATCGGGATGGATTCTTATAGAATTCAGTAAGGTTGATAAGCTAACGTGAGTATATCTGTGTTGAATTTAGCCCGTTGAATACAGGTGTAATTCCATATCCATTCAGGCTTCTGTTAAACATCACTGTTGGATTTATTTTGTCTTTTGCTTATTCCCATGTGGACAATACACAGTTTTGTTTGGTCAATTTATGAATGAGTACTCTAGACAGACTTTCTCACAGATGTGATAAAAGTTGTCTTGCCATTGAGAAAGCAGAATGTCTTCACATAACAGTTCTCTTAACTTTTCAGGGTTAATGTTGCTTGCTTTCTAAGAAACTTGTTCTCAAGTCAGATAAGTTTGCACAGAGATTTTCTGTCATAGTTGCATTAATATTTAAAGCTCCATAATTATATAAAGCAAAGTAACTGCTATATTTATTGCGTTGTGGAGAAGATGATTTTCACACAGGCTATGCAAAGATTGGTACAGAAAGCAGGTTATAACGTGGAAGTACAATTTCTGAGAATATGCCAGAAAATCTCATACATGAATGTGCAGTAGAGCTAAGCAGTATCAGGAAGAGACTAACACCTAAGGGAAAAAGATCTTTAGCTGAGGTTTCCAAAACAGAGCAGAGTACTCTAAAGCAAAATGTATGGCTGAATTTCCCACATGGCTTTAACTCTCAAGTTTGTCTTTAAGTGGGTGTTCCAGAGAACGTATAAAATAAATACCCGAAGTAGAAAGATGCTAATAAAATTGCAACGTATTTGTTAGGTTCTGTGGGAGCACTGGGTAGACATATATTTCCTGGAAATGTATAACTTTTATATTTCTTGGAAAAGATTTTAAATTGAAGCTCTTCAGATTTTCCAGATTTTTTTGAGATTTTTCTCAAAGGTCTAGCTGTTTCAGTGAATGCAAGGGAAGTAGGGAGATGCATGGAATAATTTCTGCCACCTTGTATGCTATGCATGTGTGCCTCTAGTGTGCTTAGGCAAGATTTTCAGCCAAAATTAAACAGATACCAGGAGCCTAATCCTAAATGTGATTAAATGGGCTTTATATCAGAAGCCAGAAGAAAATGGTCGTCCAAAATTGTTGAGGGAAGATGGGGCACTATCTTGATGCCTGTAGTTGAATTCCACTCCAGCCTCTTTTTGCTCCGCTATAATGAATGCTGGTGATAATATATTTATTATATCTTTTAAAAAAATATTTACTTTGTTCTGGATTATTTTGTATTTGAAAATTAAAGAAAATCCTTTCTTATAATTTATTTTAGAACTTCCATCTGCTTTTCTATTGCATCCTTGTGTTTTTATATTGAGAGAAAATGTTTCTTACTGTGCTTTGACTTTTTGCACACTTGGAGTTAATTTTCCTGAATATTGGACCTGAAAAGTGGTCCAGTGGCTGCCTCTATCATCTGGCATTTAAAACTACAAACCATCAGCTCTCCTGCCACACAGAGGAAGGATTCCCAAATCTGTGACTAACAAGAACAGATTAACCTAATACATGTCACAGATGCAAGTCATTTAAAACCCGTAATTTTGATCAAGTGTTGGCAGGGATATTTCATGTGAGTAATTGTTGTGCTTTTGTACTTGCTGACCTCTAAATTACACCACCAGCAACTCCGGTAGCCACATAATTTAAAAAAAAAAAAAAAAAATGTTTTGCAGCATCCAGGACAGCGTATTTATTTTTGAATGATTGAAGTAATTGTTAGTTTTTCTTAAAGCTTTGGCAGTCTGAAAATACTTTATTTGTTGTGGTATTCATTATTCTTTGTCCACATAATTCTAGTGGAAGTATCATTATTTATTGCTTTCCTGCTCTATCTATTGTTTGTTTTGGTTTTTTGAGGCTTGCCTTGTCTCTTTGGTTCCAAAACAATAGTATTTGATTCAGTTAATCAATTTATGTGCATAATGAACAGCCAAAGTAAACAGTAATGGAGTGTTCCACAGACTAAAATGTGCTTGCATAGATAATAGATGTAGGTGAGTTAAGATCCATTTCAAAAAGAAGAAAAATGGCACAAATCAAATACTGTTAAGCACAAATAGGTCAGACAGCTTCTCACTCGCTAACAAAGAACTTTCACAGATGATGCATTTGCTCTAACCTTATACAATTCCTAGAATCTCCTCTTCAGTATGACAGTTGCTTCTCAGTGTGAGCTATTAGTTTGCATTGGTGACCCACTCAGCCTCACTAGACTTATATGGGAAAAACAAATGACAGACACTGAAACGTAAGAATTTTTTTAATAGTGTTGTTTCTTAGATGATATGGGGCTATTCAGAGAGTTGTGCTCAGAGGCATTAAGCTGGCTTTCCCTGTGCACAATTCAGTATTTATACAAGCTAAACCCTATCAGCGTGTGATCTCAGCCAGCTGATGTATGCATAGAACCCTATTAAAGACCCAGTATCCCAATGTCTTGAACAAAAGGCATCTCCACAATATTTGGGAAGTTAGATTAATCTCACCTTGAAAAATCATTTTTCCTAGGCACTGATAGGCTAATTTACCTAAGTACAAAAAGATTGTGGCAGTTTGGTCACCTGCCCAAAATTTACAATGAAATACACCTTTTTTCAACAAAAAAAACATTTACAAAGATTGTATTGGTAAGAAGGAGAATAGTTAACATGAAAAATATGGGAGCAGTCACTAGTAATAGTAATTTTCAACCAAATAAGAACAAAACAGGAGAAAGACAAAATCTCCTGGGACTTGGTTACCAGGAAAATGGCTGTACTAAGAGATAATTTTTACTTTTTTTAGACATGGCTTGTAAGCAATGAAACTGGAGTGGAGTGTTCTACTACTATGGAAAAACAAAGCTAGTTTCCATGAAGATCATAGAGATGGGTATGCTTAGTAATCTAATTTGCATAAAAGTTTGGAAACATTGGAAATCCTTTCAAATGGAAAAAGAATGTATGTGCATTAGGAAATTAACTGTTGTGATGGAAAAACTTAACCAAATTTTGATGATCTTGGACATATATATGAAGTCAGTCACGTGGCTCCACAGAATATGTTTCAAGGTCATGGAATGCCTTACCAGGCAATCTGTGGCTGTTTGCTGTTGCAGCACTGGAAGTAGAAGTTGAACTTGCTTGTTTAGTCTATAAGGCCATGGAAGAAGCAGTGGAACATGAAATCTAGACATAAATGCCCTGAGACAGAAAGCTTTTTATTTTTCTAATGGCTCTTGGCTCTCAAGAGCGATGGCCTTTCCTTTTATTGATCCTGGCCATGAAGGTTTCATGAGCATTGTTTATAACCTGACAGTTCAGAAAGTGTTTGCTGCTACTCACTTCTATTATCACACCTAAGTTCCCTGTGGAGTTTCTTTTTCAGGGTGGGGAACTGGTTATTTTTTATTTGGCTGTCAAGAAAAGCTGTACATGGTGTCAGCATTTGTGCAGGGCATCAAATTGCAAGATGTCAAATGTAGCAGAAGGGGAGCATTAAGAATGCCCATTTGTACTTGCCTGCCTAAACAATGAGAGTCTGCACTTCTCTGGCTGTAACAAACTTATGTCTTTCTTCAAGTACCATCAATCTGCACTGCTCAAGGCACACTAACATAGCCCTTCAGTGAGTGCTTAGTGTGCAGCGCTGGCCTGAGTGGAATTCTCCATGTTTCAGTCATGTAGATAGCTCATTACGGGTTCAGGAATTTGTGGGTGTCAAGTTTTTTTCTGACAGCTTCCTTCCCTAGACTCCCTGTTAAATTTGTTCTCATCACCTCACCCAGGCTATGTTTTCACATGCAACCACAAAATTAGCATGGAGGTCTCGCCAGCTATGCCAGAGGTTTGATCAGGCAGCCAGAACTTTTCTTGCTACTGGCTTGAGTGAAACGCTGCATTTTCTGACTGCTCATTTTCAATCTCTGGCTGCCTAGTTCTCCAGAGCCTGCAGCATGCCTCCCTGTGCTGCTTTTGGGAAGTTAAAGGATGCACACAGCCAAGTGGTAGGGAGTTGAAGTATGTAGACCTTTCCTGGAGAAACAGACCTGTGACCAGTGGTGTGGAAAGGTATGAGACCCTCCAGACCAGCTCTGCTTCCTTTGGTTTAGAAGACAAAAGAATACATCTACAGCTAGGAAGTGAATTCTCTTTTGCTGCAGAAGAGAGCAGCAGTGAAGGGAGGAGGAAAGAAATTCCTTTGGCACTGTGCACTATTACCCAGTAGAACTCTGTGAGGCATGATAGTATTCAGGCAGACAAGGATGATACTCTGAAACGTTAGATACCTATGAATGATACCTATATAGATGCAGCTTGTTCCTTAGAAACCTACATTACTGTGGATGTATTGCGGGACATTGGTGCTACTTCTGCTAGACAATGCTATGGAGGACTATGATCATACTCTATAATAACCTCAGTTGTGGTGGAAAAAGACATTGCTTTGCTTTTAAACTTTTTGTGACCTCCTGGAGTTTAGTTCTCAGTCATTTTTTCAGTATCAGTTTCTCATCAGTTACTTGAGCTACACAGCTGCCCCCAGGCATTTTAGTTCTGAGCCAGTCAAAGTTCATCTTTGGCTGGCTGTCCCACAGATACCAGGCCATAAACTTATCGTCCTACAGCATTCAGTAGGACGATAAATTCTACATTCAGTTCACAGTGCATGCAAAAATCTATTTTTATTTCATACAAATGGGTTTCTTTTTTAAATTCACAGTAAATGCAATGCACAAAAGTGCAATATTATTTGTCAACACATTTCACCGGAGGATCCACAACATCCATTTGATCTTAACTCAAGGAATCTGATCAGCCCCTTTGGAAAGGATTCACCAAATGTACTGGCTTAGTTTTGGAA